GGCTAACAATGTTCAAGAGGAAGTGTACTCATTACCTCACTCATGTAACTGTAACCCTCTGTATAGTATCTTTACAATAAAAAATAATAATAATATATATAAAATAAGGAAAAAAAATCACAGTCCTGGCTAGCACAAAAAAAAAAAAGAGAGAGAGACTTCAGCTCAAAAGAAAAAGGTGGGCAAGTTGTGTAAATTGGAGGATTGAAATCCAGGCTGACATCACGGGCCAGGATACCATAAAAACATCCATGTTCATTGCTGACTATTCACAATAGCCAAAATACTGAAGCAGCCCAGATAAGTGGATCCAAAAAAATGTGGTATCTACACACAATGGAATTTTACAAAACCATTAGAAAAAATAATACTGTCACTTGCAGGGAAATGGATGGACCTAGAACAAGTCATGTTAAATGAGGTAAGCCAAGCTCAGAGAGATAAATAGCTCATGTTTTCTCTCACATGCTGAAACTAAATATACAATACACTGGGACATGATAAATTATACAGGACTTAATATACACAGTGAGACCAAGAGAGTACTCTTAGGAGAGAAATACAAAGGTGTAACGCCTATGTGCTTCTGATAATATAAAATAACATATATCAAAATGAACTCCAAAAAATGGAAACGACTTTTTTTATTTGTTGTATTTGTTTTCTTTCTGTCTGGTCTGTTTGTCTGTCTTTGGGAGGGGTGCAGCAGTGATGCTCACTGGACACTGTTCAAAGTGAACTGCAGTATAAAACTTGCAGGTGAGGATGGGAAGGAGAGACAGCAAGGCAAAGGGTAACACTGTATAATAGGAAATGTATTCATTACCTGACTTATGTAACTGTAATCCCTCTGTACATCACCTTTATAATAATGATAAAGTTAATTAAAAATTAAAAATTAAATTTACTTTCCGTTTGGTGCTTAAAAAATAAAGAATCCAGGATCATTTGGGGAGGAAGGGTACAAAAACACAAGATTGTATTAAAAAATGGCCAGATCAAAAAGGACTAAAGTATGGCTCACACCTTGAGCTCAACCTCCAGTATCAACACACACACACACACACACACACACACACACGCACGCACGCACGCACGCATGCACACACACACACACACACACACAAAAGAGAGAAAGGAAAAAGAGAGAGCCTACAGAATATTATAATTAACAAGAAGCAGTAATGTTCATAAGAACTAATCAAAATGTGTAAAAACCCTGAGTTTTAGAGTATAATGGTGATGGCAGCAGGTGAAGAGTTTTGGGATGTTGCCAGAGTAACAAAGGAAACCATATTTCCTAAGGGAAATTAATGATATTCACAACGAGCCTTTTCTTAGGTGAGTAATGTACCAGCTCTGGAGTTTCAGCTATGAAGTATGACAAAGTTGGAAGACACACCTAGAGGGAGAGCTAGGAGGTGGTATTGTACTTCCAACATCTATCCACAAGAGAGAAAGTCAAAAGAAGAAAAGGTGTGGGAAAGCTTCACGGGAGATGGCACTGAATCCAGTTCCTAGATATTTTTAGCTTAGTAACTATCTCCCATAAACCACTAGTTTACATGAATGAATACATATGAAGGGTGACATAGTAGTTTAAAAAATAAAGATCATGGGGCTGGGAAGGTGGCTCAGTGGTAGAACGCTTGCCTTGTATGCATGAGGCCCTGGGTTCGATTCCTCAGCACCACATAAGCAAAAACAAAAAAGCCAGAAGTGGCGCTGTGGCTCAAGTGGTAGAGTGCTAGCCTTGAGCTGAAGAGCTGAGGGACAGCGCCCAGGCCCAGAGTTCAGGCCCCACAACTGGACCAAAAAATAAAAAATAAAAAAAAAAATAAAAAATAAAAAAGATCACCAGGTAAAGTTCTTGCTTTCAGAGATTCCTCGGAGAACTCAATCACAACGTCTTCATTTCTTGAGTTCAAAGAAAAAGGAGAGGCCGGATTCAATGTAGAGATCTTTTGTTCTGGCGATATTACCTATCCGGAAAGAAGAAAAGACAAGTCTTCTTACTGAATGAGAAAGTAAGAAAATCTTGTTTGATTTCAGGTAATCTATATTATAAAAATTATTTCAAGCACATTATATAGAACTATGATGAAGACAAAAAAAACTATAAAATGTGTTCCAAAAAGGAAACAGTAAACACTAAAATCAACAAGAACAGAAAGTAAAATATAAAATATAAAGGCTTTGGATTCTTTCAAAATGAGTATCTGATTTGAACTGACCTAGACCAGTTTCTACTTTAAAGAGCTCAGGGCAAATCAAACCTCATGTTTGGATACATCGTGCACACTCAAGGCTAAAGTAGCTCTCACATCCTCCAGTTAAGAGAATCTCAATAGTTGATATAAACTTCAGTGATACAGTGGGTGATAAGGCAGGCGCCAGTGGCTCACACCTGTAATCCTAGCTACTCAGGAGGCTGAGATCTGGGGATAATGGTTCAAAGCCAGCCCAGGCAGGAAAGTCCATGAGACTCTTATCTCCAATAAACCACCAGCAAACTGGAAGTGGTGTTGTGACTCAAGTGGTAGAGTGCTAGCCTTGAGCTAAAGAGCTGAGGGATGCGACCAGGCCCAGAGTTCAAGTCCCTTGACCAACAAATAATAAACCACACACACACACACAAAAAAAACTTTAAGTATGCTCACAAATACAATGAGTTTTTTGTTTTTGGTTGGTTTTTTTTTTTTTTTTGGTTTTTTTTTGGTCATGGGCGTTGAACTCTGGGCCTGGGCACTGTCCCTGAGTTCCTCAGCCCAAGGCGAGCGCTCTACCAATTGAGCCACAGCACCACTTCCAGTTTTGTGGTGGTTAATTGGAAATAAGAGTCTCACGGATTTTCCTGCCCGTGCTGGCTTTGAACTGTGATCTTCAGATCTCAGTCTCCTGAGTAGCTACGATTACAGGAGTGAGCCACCAGTGCCTGGCTAAATACAGTGACTTTTAAAATATATCCTAGACTTGAACAGCCATATCACTACTTTTTCTTTCTCTCCTTCCTTCCTTCCTTCTTTCCTTCCTTCCTTCCTTTCTTTCTTTCTTCCTTCCTTCCTTCCTTTCTTTCCAGTATGAGGTTTGAACTCAAAGATTCACATTTGCTACATTGGTTCTCTACCACTTGAGCCATGCAGTCCTGTTTCTGACTTGCTATACACATATTAAAGAATAAATGCTTTAAAGATTACTCATCAAGGCTGGGCGCTGGTGGCTCACGCCTGTAATCCTAGCTACTCAGGAGGCTGAGATCTGAGGATCGCGGTTCAAAGCCAGCCCGGGCAGGAGAGACCGTGAGACTCCTATCTCCAATAAACCACCAGAAAACCGGAAGTGGCGCTGTAGCTCAAGTGGTAGAGGGCTCGCCTTGAGCTGAAGAGCTGAAGGACAGCGCCCAGGCCCAGAGTTCAAGCCCCACGACCGACAAAAAAAAAAGATTACTCATCAAACTCTTTTTTGTTGTTCTGTTTGAGAGGGTCTCCCTAAGTACCCCAAGCTAGCCTCCAGCTCTCAAACCACCTTGTCTCTGCCTCTCAAGTGCTGTGATTATTGGCATATACCACAATGTCCAGCAAGAATGTTTTTGATGAGAGTGGGAAAGAGCTCTTTAACTTGAACTTCACAGCCTTCTGGACTGACTTGTAAAAATAAGTTTGTGTATGAGTGTGAACATGTGCACACACATCTGTGTTTATTTTGGTTTTTCTTGGGCTTTTTTGTGTAAATGACAATAAAATTTTGAAGTTTGTACATACAGCTCAGTAGCAAAACACTTGTCTATCATATGTCTATTATATACTGGGTTAATATCCCCAGCAGTGCCAAAAAAATGTTTATATATTCATTTTAAAGTATTTTCTTAATTAGCAACTATATCACAGGTGTTGGCCTGGAAATAAGGATATGAAAATAAACACTCTTAAGTCTCTGTATTCAGTTTGGTCTAATGAAAGACAGACATGCAGATGGGAAAATATAGCTATGTTATCAATTAGAACTATATTAAGAAGTTCTTACTATGTGGCAGGGCCTGTGCATATAATATATATACTATGTATCTAAGCACTTTTCACTATTAACTTTAACCCAGAATATAACCTCGTGGGTTATATAGACTCTTATTTCCCTTATTTTGCAACTCTCTAAAACAATCTCTCTGAAAGTATAAGGCATGCGTATGTCCTGTGTGATACTCTCTGATCAGGCTAGCCTGGGCAGAAAAGTCTCTGTGAATCCCTTATCTCCAATAAACCACTCAAAAATTGGAAGCAGAGCTGTAGTTCAAAGTGATAGCGCTAACTAGCCTTGAGCAATAGAGCTTAGGTACAGCGCTGAGACTCTGAGTTCAAGCCTCATGACCAAAAATATTTAAAAGGACATCTGCACACCAGTAATTGTTGCATTACTATTCATAAGAGCCATGATATGGAGTCAACTTGTCCATCGACAGACAAATAAAGGAAATACTGTACATGTACACAATGACATATTCAGCCATGACAAAGAATAAAATTGCGCCATTTGTAGCACTATAGATGGAACTGGGAAACATAATATTAATTAAGGCAGGCTCAGAAAGACAAATATAACACACTCTCACTTCTACATGGAAACAAAAATGTTTACCCTATAGAATTAGAGAATAGTGACCACAGTGATTATTTGGGAAAGGTATGAGGGAAGTGGAGAAAAGATAGTTAAGTGGAGCCAGGTGCCAATGGCTCATGAGGCTGAGATCTGAGGATCACAGTTTGAAGCCAGCCTGGGCAGGAAAGTCTGTGAGACTCTTATCTCCAATTAATCACAGAAAAGCCAGAAGTGGTTCTGTAGCTTTAGTGTAGAGTGCTAGCTAGCCTTAAGCAAAAAGACTTTAGGGACAGTGCCCAGGCCCAGAGTTCAAGGCCCAGAAAAGGCAAAAAAGAAAAAGGACAGTTAATTGGTACAGAGGTATAGCTTAATAGAAGGAGTATTTTCTATGCTCTATAACCAAGTGAAATAACATGGTTGACAACAAGGAACTGAATATTTCAACATAACTAGTAGAAAGGATTTTGAAGGTTCCAACAAAGAAACTGTAAATGTTTCAGGCAATAGATATGCAATTACCATTATCTGATTTTTTTCTCAAAGCTAGTGCCTCTACCACTTGAGCCACAACTCTACTTCCAGCTTTATGGTGGTTAACTGGAGTCTCATGGACTTTCCTATCTGGACTAGCTTCAAACCACAATCCTCAGATCTCAGCTTCCTGAGTAGCTAGAATTACAGGCATGAGCCACCACTGCCCAGCTAAAATGTTCGAAAAAATGAATTTTAAAAGCCTAAGATGATGACAAAGTTTTGAGTTCTACTTTTTTAAACGCCAATGCATGTAATGCTACTGAGTTACACATTTTAAAATGGCAAATTTGTGATATGTGGTTTTGTCACAATAAAAATTTTTGGTATTTTTAAAGTCTGAAAGATGAAGCATTGGCTAATGAACTTCTTTCTGAATGATATGTAACAAAATGCTTATTTCAGTTGTAGCAATGAATTTGATCAAACAGAATATTTCAGGGAATGATTACAAATACAAATGAACATGTTTCTTTTTCTATAAAGGGTACTCTCCAATTTATTTTCCTCTCAGAAAACACAAAAAATGAGAAACAGAAACTATCTTGGATGAGACTAAAAAACAAGGGTAATGATAAGTTATAACACTAAAAGGATGAGGAAGCAGCATAGACTTAGCAATATAGAGGAGTACCTCAGTAGCTACTATAGGAAAGTCTTATTATAAGCTGACTTGCCCCCAATAACCATGAGAATCCTCAAAGTAGGATATGATGAACTATTATAAACAACTATATGCTACAAATTGGAAAATCTAATAAACTACAGGTCTTATGTAGTTTGAGATATTATACTTCCTGTCAAGTTACTACTGTGCTATACAAAGATTTAACAATAATTTCTTTTACAAAATTTAGTATTGACATAAAGAAAATGATTTGGCAAATGCAACTATAAAAATATTTTTACCTCCAAGAAGTCAGCCTGCATATAAGTTCTAGGCAAATCTGGAGCCAAGAAGCACATATCTGTCATGCAGTCTTTATATTCCATGCTATTTGGCAAGTGACTGCGTTCTACCAGCTGTGAGCGATGTCCTCTGACCATTTCACCACTAGTAGCTGATCCTTTCACTTGGTGCCCTTGAAACTCAACAGGCTGTAGGCAAATTATTAAAAATAAGAATGGCATAAGGATATATTTGCAATATATATTGAATATAATTTAACTTTTTTTATTAAATATTACTTAATGAAAATAAATGCTAGGGGACTAATACTGAATGTCAAGAAACACTTCCATTATCCTAAAACATGTTAAGTGTAACCACTTTAAAGTGCATTGATTTCTCCCCCACAGTATAACCCCTTCTTTCACTGTATTTGATGTCGGTATAATTTGTGGAGGGGAAGGGGAAAAACAAGTCATCTAAATAAGGATACAGGTGGACCCGTTGCAACAATGAGAAGTACAAGTTGTCATGTCATAAATGAGCTTTACAACGTTGGTGTGTGGGGGGAGGTGGGGAAGATTAGGTGGGGGACCGGAGGAGGCTGGGAAGGGATGGGAAGGGGAAACAAAAGAGGAGGCTACAATGCTTGATAAGAAATGTACTCATTATCTTGCCCATGTAATTGTAACCCCTCTGTACAGTATTTTCACAATAAAAAATAAATAAAAATTAAAAAAAGAAATATACTCCTTATGTGACTTATGTAACTGTAACCCCTTTGTATATCACCTTTACAATAAAAATAAATTTTAAAAAAGAAAAAGAAAAAATAAATGTAAAGAAATTAAAAAAATAAAGTGCATTGATTTAACTACATTCATGTCAATATTAATCCAAATGAATTCTATGTTACTATGTAAGGACAAATATATCAGCTAATTAAAGAGGAAGAACTATTTGTCCCTCTTTATGCAGTTTTTACACATCACATATATAATAAGTTACATATGATATGATAGATTATAGACTCATTATTTTATACTACAATGAAGTTTCTCTTTGTTTATATACAAATATACTACAAGTTCCCTGAGGGCACAGACATTTTTCCCTCAAAAAAAAAGGTAATTATAAGTTATAATATAACTTATATGTATCACCTGCATTCAATGTAGTGCTGGCACATGGGAAACAATCAATACAAAGGAGAAAAAAGGCCAGGCACCAATGGTGGTGGCTCACGCCTGTAATCCTAGCTACTCAAGAGGCTGAGATCTGAGGACTGTGGTTCAAAGCCAGCCTGGGCAGGAAAGTCTGTGAGACTCTTATCTCCAGTTAACAACCACAAAACTGGAAGTGGCGCTTTGGCTAAAGAGGTAGAGCACTCACCTTAGCTGAAGAGCTGAGGGGCAGCACCCAGGCCCAGAGTTCAAGCCCCATGACAGAAGGAAGGAAGAAAGGAAGGAAGGAAGGACGGAAGGAGGAAGGAGAGAGGTAAGAAGGAGAAAGAAAGAAAAGAAAGAGAGGAATGCAGGAAGCATTTTCCTTAGCTTAAAGCTTCTGTAAAGTATTGTTTAACTAGTGGGCTAATCAGTTATAGAGAATGGGTCCTCTTCAAAGGCCTAATTCTCCAAAGTTCTCTTATCCCCTCATAAAAGTGGTCTGCTTTCAGGCTTTAAACAGCTTTCTCTGCTACCCCCTTGAGGGTTTTGGGATTATAATCTATATAGGGTAACAGCCTGGAAAAATAAGATTGCTAAAGGAATGTCCATAAAGGATTCATTTATTTTTAACTAACAAATTTACAAAATGACAACATAGAATCTGAAAATACTAATTCAAGAGTCTAGATTAGGGGCTGGGAAGGTGGCTCAGTGGTAGAGCG